AGAAAATTTGGTTGTAACGTGACACGATATGAAGGTACTCGACTCCTTCTCTATGTTTTCCTGTAGTGTGTTTGGATTGACACCTCCCAGCTTTCTGTTCAGAACAAAGGTTTTGTTTGTGTGTTTTAAGGTATTTAGGGATGATTCCTGTGTAATGTTTGTGAAAATATAATTTAACTGAACAGCAGAGAGGTGTTTGTGCTGAAGTCCCATTAATTTAGTCATTTGTACATTTGTACGTAACTTCACAATATGTACTATTTTACATCGGGGCATTTTCAAAATTCTTTCTCTTTGCCAGATTTCAACAAAATGACAAAGTGTCTATTATTAATATTATTACTATTACTATTTATTTTTGTTCATACTCAGAAGTCTGCATCGATTTGCTTTTGAATTGGCTTTAAATTGTTTTACTTTGGGTCAAAATTTTAGGAAATCTTATCAGCAGCTTCTACCTGCAGTACGCAGCTGAATCTTTGGCCCATTCCTTCTTCAGAGCCAGATATTATTGGGTCCGATTTAAAGGCCACCTGTTCAACTTTGCTCAGTCTGTTTTTTTTTTTGGTTTTTTTTAGCAGGGCTTTGTAATGATCTCCTAAATCTTTCCTTTCTTGCCCTCAAGTCACTTTGAAACCACTTTGGCTTCACAGTTGGTTTGGTCGTCTCAGGTTTGCCAGCATCCTGTTTTTGTTGGACTTTTAGATTTATGCTGAAAACCCATACAAGTCCATTTCGATACAGAAAAAGATATTCTTAATATCCATCCCTTAGTGCTACCTGCAGCGTTTTACTGTAAAACCGCGAGAAGAAGGAAACGCAGAAGACATCCTGATACCGATATATACATACAACCAGCAGCTGCTTAGCTTAGCAGAATTACTTCCCTTTTGAGGTCAACTTTACCTCCAAAACCTTAACACTGTTACACTAACATTAGCATGTACTTCTTTTAAACATGGGTAAACACTCCAGAGCAAGGTTGATGAGTCCATCGCCATGGCAATAACTGTCTGCCAAACATGTTTTTCTTTATTGGTGAAAGTGAGAGAAAAAGACCTTCTACTAAAGGGCTTACCTGGCCTCCCTGGTTATGTTCGAGACAAATTATATTATCTGATAATAATTGTAATGTTTTCAAAGCTGTCGAACATTTAGAAAACGGTTGTCTTGAGTTTGTTTAGTTTTCCTGTGAGGTTCCGGATGGAAGCAGGTGTTTTCTGGTTATGGGTGACGGTCAGATTCCTGCTTCTTGGACTGATCGCTGCACTGAACACATGTAGCTAAATAAATTTAGCAGTGAGTGTGTAGTAGTGTGTGTAAGACAGAGCAAAAAGAAGAAGTGCTCCACAGCCTCAGCATAGACTCAGAAACATAGAAATGACATATGACCTGTAAGTGAATGTCAGCTTTCCTCATTCACACATACACACACTGTGTGACGTTGCCCCTTCCCCTAAGCAGAACAGGAAAAACATCACAAATGCTGTTCTAATTTCTTATTGTATTATTGATTATGCAATTTACATGAAAATAAAGCATGAAGACTGCGACAGACTGGTGACCCGTCCAGGATGTACCCCGCCTCTCGCCCGGAACGTTAGCTGGAGATAGGCACCAGCACCCCTCCCGACCCCACTGAGGGACAAGGGTGTTCAGAAAATGGATGGATGGATAAAGCATGAAGACAAACCAGGAAGCCGAATTTGATGACAAAACTCTTGATTGGTGCGTCTCTCCCAATAATGGTCGTCCTCTGAAATAACGCTCGTTCTTGAACTGGTTCAGTTCGATGCTTTCAAACTTCGCTGCTTTGTTGAGAGCCGACGGGTTTTCCACCAGTTTGGAGAATCGAAGACGCGTTGTCAACTATAGCTGAATGCTGCTTCTCCATGTTTGGTTCTGGTTCTGGGGATGCAGAGCAGAACCAGAACCAGAAGACCTGGGAGGTCTGGAAGGTTGATACCACAGCAGCAGATCTTTAATGCTGCTGTGGTTTATAAACTAAAAGAATCATTTTAAAATCTGTTCTCTGAACTGAGTGATGTGCTCCATCTTCCTGGTTTTAGTGAGAACTCGAGCAGCAGCGTTCTGGATCAGCAGCTGCAGAGCTGTGAAGACACTGTGAAGAATCAATGCAATGTGACTAAAGATAAAAACATGGATGAGTTTCTCGATTTCAAAGTCAGGACAGTGTTTGTAGAGGGTATGACTAGAAAGCATCCTTGTTGAGTCTTCAGCCTAAAACACTCAAGTATATAGAAAAGTGAAGGAGCGAAGCGGTCGGTTCTGAAAGACTTTGGTCCTCTAAACTGCTGCATGTGCTTTTTTCCCCCAGCGTAGAATATAGTTGAAGTGTGTATCTTTCTTAGAGGGAAAAATGTAGATTTCTATATTAGAGCTGGAGTCTGAAAGCTTTTGTCAGCAGGTGTTTAAAAATGGATGAGTACTGGTACAGCTGTGTGAGGGGCCAGCCCCTGACTCGGCCGGGCCGGGCCGGGCTGTTGGAGTGGTTCTACCTGTCGGGATCAAAGTCGCTGAAAGCCTGAACGTTGTGCAGGCTTTTGTGCGCACACGTTCTCCTGACACGTTTTAATCTGAATTTCTCTGAATCCGTTTCTGATGCAACTCTGGGTTTTCTCTTATCTGCATGGCCTTTTATGCTTTGGCCATCAGAACCGTTTGCGTGTGCAGGAGATTTAGCTCCATTTGATTGGTTCCTTGACATACACAGAAACTCGTGCCGACCCCTCCTTCAACCCCGTCTCATCTGATGCTGATTGTAGCTGATTAACTCTGGTTGACCTTTTTCCCTGTCCAGCTGCTCCTGTCAGTCAGTACCGGCTCTCCTTTAATACATACAGTATTCTGCAGCGTAACAGCAGAGTGTGTGTATGTGTGTATGTGTGTGTGTGTGTGTGTGTATGTGTGTTTTTGTTTTTTTTTCACAGGCCAGCTTTCGTGCTATAGCTCCACTGCTGCCGGTGCACAATAACCTTCCGCTCCTGCGAGCAAACGAGTAACAAACGCTCCTGAAATGCAGCTTTTTGCGCTCGGAATTTCTAGAAAAAGGAATCTTGCCGAATGAAAACGGAATGGTGCACATTCATAAAAATCCAAGCATCGTTCCTGCAAACGTGCAGCGGTACTTCAGAGACATCAGAGGAAACTTTTGTTTGCCTTAGTCGGTATTCTATGTGGCGTGATGGTGGGTAATGAAATGTTATTGTTATGTAATTCCCATTTGTTCTCTTGCCGTCTTCCATATTGGATGCTTTTTGTTTTTGGACACAGTTAAAGTTTTTTAGACATGATCCTGGAACGACCAACATTACGTTCATGTTCTCTTTGTGTGACACGTCAAATCCAGTAGCATTTGAAATTTATTGAGTAGACCATTTTAACTCATAAATACACTTTGATCATCTGCCTGGATGTTTAGTATTGAGCGATAAATTGATTTTATTGACTAATTAAATTTTATGTTTTATGATGATTTAATCTTTTGGAATATCTGGATTTATTTTTATTTTTTTTCACCAATGCGCTCTTTGGGCCTCCGTAGATCAGAGTGATGTCAGCCCCCCAGGGCCGGCCTTCTGTTGTTTCACAGCTTGAATTTATTCATACTTTAAATTCAAGTCAACTCCCAGAATGGACGACTGAAACAAATGCAAGCATATGAAAATACACTGCTCAAAAAAATAAAGGGAACACTCAAATAACACATCCTAGATCTGAATGAATGAAATATTCTCATTGAATACTTTGTTCTGTACAAAGTTGAATGTGCTGACAACAAAATCACACAAAAATCATCAATGGAAATCAAATTTATTAACCAATGGAGGCCTGGATTTGGAGCCACACACAAAATTAAAGTGAAATGTTCCCTTTATTTTTTTGAGCAGTATATTTTCTGTCCCTTGTGATTTCTTTTTAAAAATAAATTGATGGTCACAAAAGGAAAGTTGATGACAAATTAAAGAAAAAGATACAACAAATATAACCAATTAATCAGAACAGCCTCCAAAGAAATTAAAGGTGAACTCAAGGTCAAAGTACATCAGAGTCAACAGGATGCTGACCCAAAATGGCTAAAAACAGCCAAGAACGGCTAAGAGCAAAACATTGGACTATTCTGAACCGGGTGAGCCCTGATCTAAATCCTGTTAAACATCTGGAGAAGGAACCCATCAAACCTGAGACAACTGGAAGGGTTAGTCCATGAGGAGTGGAGCAGAATGCCTGTGGACGGGTAAAGACGTCTCGTTTGTAGCTACAGAAACTGCTTGATTGCCTCGAGGATTGTGCAACAAAATATTAAAGCACAGGTATCGTCATTTTTGTCGAGGCTTGTTTCATTATTATTATTTTTTTTTAATAATTTAGTTGAGCTACAATTTAAAAGCAGTATCTGATTTTCATAGGTTCTTTTTCAGTAAATTTTCATGTATTACTACTTTTGTTGGTTTCTAGTTATTTCAGTTATGGCAGGATTTGTTGGTCGTTAACAGAGAGATGCCAGTAATTTTCTACACGTCCTGTCTAAGCCTGTATGTATGTATCAATCAATCAATCAATCAATCAATCAATCAATCAATCAATTAATCAATCACATAAATTAAAATGCCCTATAATTTCCATTTAATTGATTTACTTTTTCTTTTTTCTCACTTTCTACCCAAAAACTGGATGACAAAAGTTTTCAGTCTGGTGCTTTGGTTTCAATTTGCGCTTATTTTGAAGGACAATAATTAATTTGATTAGTTGTTTCTGTTTTTTATGATGGATATTTAAAATGTCTTCCAGTTCCAGTGTTAAATGTTCATTATAATGTAAAGTTTATTGATCTGTGAGAATATGTTCTTGCATTATTGGGTCATCACTGTGACATTGCTTGAAAATGGTCTCAAAACAGCAATATTATTGTTTATCGCAATAATTTCTAGGACAATTTATTATCTAGCACAATTTGTTATTGTGACAGATGGTCCTCACGTTCGAGTCAGTCGAGTTTGGATTTCTCAGCGTTTAGGTAGACCTTCTCCGCTACCCTGTGCTTTCTCCTCTAACATCCCCTTTCTAATATGCCATTAATTCTCTTGTTTGGCCATATTGGGGAAATACAAGAGAGCATATTCATGTTAAATCCTTCAAGTACGCCGCTCTGCAGCCTGAGCCCGACCGGGCCCCCGCTCGCGCGCCGCACAGGCCTGTCTGAGCGCATCACATCTGTTGTGGGGGAGTTAACAAGGAGGTCCAGATGAGTGTCAAAACAGCGCGCTCATCATGCTCCGGAGCCGCACCGCCGCTTCCGTCGAGGTGCACTGAACCTCCGACCGCCGCGCCCCCCAAGTCACTCCGACCTCTGGTGCATTTCTAGTAAACAAATGAATCAGCAAGCAGCCCCAACGTGGGGAACTGTTTGTTTAAAGGAAACGGAAGGTTTTCTTTTTTCTTACTTTGATCCACTGCAGCTGCGCGCCGTCTGATTCAGGGTGCATGTATGTATTCAGACTCCCTTTCTTCATTGGCTCAGATTGATGGAGTCGGCCCACTCCCGGTTGCTCAGCAAACAGAGTCGCATTTTCAAAGCCCCGCAGGAGGTAATTGTTGCTCTTGTTTCCTTCCACTCTTTCACATGGTAAAAACCTACAACAGATGGAGCAAATAAAAATGTCACCCCTTAATGCCAGGGATTTATTTTTATATCAAAAAGTACATCAGGAATAATAAAAAGAAAAATCTTTAAGCGTGACGTGACTTCTTTTCATTCCTCTTCTTTTCTTTTCCTTTTGGCTAAGATGAGGTGCCTAAGTAGCTCCCCACTCTATGACCACTTTGGTTACTGTTATCTCTACACATTAGGAAGGTGACATTTTATCCCAATTAAACTCCAGCGTGCCTCTTCCATTGAAGTAGCACCTCACCCTGATCTGATTCTGTCTGTTTTAATAACACTTAAGTCGAAATTTAAAAGCTCTCCCTGTCTGATTCATCCGCACTCTGTGAAACAATAATGTGTGGCACGGTGAATAAAATATTGAAAACCCGGCCTTGCTAAATGACACAAACTTAGCTCCATGAAAAACTCCCTCCTCCTCCTCCTCCCCCCCAGTTGGGTCTCTGTGTGTATTTGTGCTCGTCTGTGTGGAGTGTTTTATGCGAAATAGCGTCTTTCCTAATGGATTCAAAGAGGAAGAACTATTCAGCTGCAACTAGGCTGCCTTCTGGCAGTGCCAGAACTTATGGGAACAAGGACGTGCGACTCACTCGCCAGCCGTGGCTCCGCCTCAATTAAAAGCCACTCGGCTTCGTTTGGATCCGTGTGGAAGACGTCTGCACACGTGTCGGCTCTGCCTGCGAGGACGGATGGAGCTGAGGATTACTGGGATTCCATTTAGGAAAATGGCTCGCGCTCCTCTGACGTGAACTTAAGAGTTCTCGCGTTCAATATTTTAAGCTCGTGAAACTCTCCCCGCTTGCACACAGTGAATAATGTCACTATGGTGGCTACATTAAGAGCCAAGAGTCAGCTAATGGTTGAGAGGAAGAAAAGACCAAACAATGCCAGCGACATAAACTCCAGTTTTAGGTCACTTTCAGGTCACATGCGTTTACGATCGGATATTTTCTTTTCTTTTTTTAAAATTCTGCTTCATTAAGATTTTAGTTCCATGTATTTATAACTTCTAATAAAGCTGAATGTCTGTTTTTAAAACTTTAAACAGCTGGAAAATCTTTTCTTTGCTCATATACTTGTGTTTTCAAATAAATATAGCAAAAGTCTGTTTTTCTTTTCATTGAGCTTTTTTCATTGGCAGAACTAAGACTGAGGTGTAGCTCATAGATGTAGGTTTTCATATTAAAAGCTTGTGCCAATAGCCTGTCATGCTGTGGTTGTGCTGATTGCTTTACCTCCCAGATGGGCTCTGGGAACATCTGGAGACTTTACTGTGAACTCCCTGCATAGCAGCTACTGAGTGCAGTTTGTATTTAGCATTGCTGGACCTGAGAACTGCGTTCCTAGGGGGATATTTGACTTCCAAGTTGTTACAATAGGTTCTTAGAAAAAGAAAACTCCACCATGATAACTTCTCCGTAATGCCCAAACATTTTTGGCAGTTCTGGCTTCCCGCATGCCGTGTCGATGCGACCTACTGCAACAGCAGCGAACTGGTCTGCGCTCCACACACACGGTCCGCGCTTCGTTTTGGCGCAAGACATCAGCCGGCTTCGAGTCCGAGGGAACTCACAGGTCACTGCTGTAGAAAGCCAAGTCAAGTCTCGCGTCTCTTGTGATTTTTATCAAGCCGCACCTTTTCAAGACGCCGTACTCCATAAAGCATCAAACGCAAGAGTCTCGTCAAAGCGTTTTGCATTGGACCCAAATGGCCCAACGTCTGCTTAGTAACTAGTCATGTGCACGCAGAAGGGGCCGGGCATTGTTGAAGCCTGCAGACAGTTCAGCTGAAGCCGAGTGCTTGAAAGGCTGCTGAGATGGATCCTATCACATTAGTGCCTCGAGGAAGCCCCACTTCACATTGTGCCAGTCAAGCCATGCCGTGACACTCTGTCGCTCAGCAGACAGAGCATCGCAGCTGGCACCCTCTGTCACAACATGGCAGGAATGATAGGCCCCTCTCTGCATGCCCCTGAATCTCCCACTGATCACACACTATGCAAAACCATCCCTGGAGACGCAGATACGACTTGATGTTTTCTTTAGATCAAGTTAGAGGACAGCATGCATGACCATTACAATTCTCCTCAATGTTCTCTGTCATGTTTATATTCTCTTAATGTACTTTTAGGGCATAAAGGTAAAGGAGGAGTCGCTCAAGTTTCAGAGTGGCTTTAAGTCACTTTTAGCTCTCTTTTGGGGGGGACATAAACAAATATTAGAAAGCGTATGATAATTTGTTGTGCAATCTGCAAATACAAATTATTTAGGCCTAAAATAAGCCATGAAAACAATATCTATAGGCGTTGTAGGTTTCATGTTAGAGATACTTACATTCCAGAGTTAGACGTAGCATCTTTCTTTTCCATCAGCTGGAGAAATTGTGAGATGAGCTGCTTTAAGCAACACAACAAACTTTTGACTTTCCCTGCATAATTCTTAAGTGGCTCTGACCTACATGTTCATCAGTGTAGAAAATTAAATCCCTCTGGAAGGAAGCAGCGCTTCGTTTGTTTTTGGCTGAAGCACAGAGGTGACTGAGGGAATAATAATGAGTGGAGGCACTCTTTGGAGTTCCTGGAAAGCTTTGCTGTCAATTTTTTTTCTGACGGTCTTCATGTTGACGATGATCTGTGCTTTTAAGTCCCTGAGAGAGGCTGTACCACAAACTACTTTTTGGAGTTTATCATCAATTATTCCATCACGTCCACGTTATTGTGCATAATGTTGACAACATGCGTTGCATGTTGGTTGGCATCTGGGTCAACTTTGGAAAATAAAACTTTGAAAAACAGCCCTGTGGTCTTGGTGGAAGTTTTACAGCCAATCCAAATGTCAAAGTCAGCGCAGGTTTTGTGCGGCCTCTCTTTGAGCCGTCTGAGTTGTTCGCTCTTATTCAATGGTTTGATAGCGCAAACAGTGATTTAACCAATCACGTGTCAGGAAATCCATGCATTTAAGCTTCTACCGGTGATGAAGTTCAGACTAAACCTAGGAGTTAGGATGAGAGACGATTTAGGTGACTTTAAGCATGGATTTTCACCTTTTGGACTTACAGAAAATGGCACAAAAAAGAGAAAGTTACAATAGAATGGTGGTTTTATGAACAAAAATGCCTGGCAGAGGTCAGAGTAAAATGGACAGTCAGGTTGAGATGCTAGAACAGCAGCAGTAGCTCAAGAAGCCACTTGTAGCCAAGATGTGCAGAAAATTATATCTCGATTTCCAACCTTTTGAACTACAGCAGATGATGACCACACAGAGTCCTGGCTAACTCTTAGGCAACTCCTGTTAGCTAATTAAATGCCTTAGTTTTGATTAGTCATAGATATTAACATGTTAAAATAATGGGTTTTTTTTGTTGTGGATACAAAGGTTCCAGCCAGAATCTTTGTAAAATATTCACGTTTTAAGTACGACCGTAAATCTGACGCACAAACAACATTCACTGACAACAACGACAATCAACACCACCACTTCTCTCGGCCCACCGGGGGTTAATTTCTGCTTCTAGAGGTGATCTGATTGGATGCTGGAACAGACTATTGTTGTGTTCCAGTTGTGCTAAAAGTAGTTAGCCTATCAGTGAAGCTATTCAAGGGTTAAATAGAATCTCAATGCTAAACATGCTGCAGCAACACAAACGTCCTCAACACTAATCTCAGCGTCCACATTTCTAAAGATGGTTTTTTTCAAAGAAGTTTCTGAAACACCGGAAAACTGAATGGAAATTTCACTTTGCACCAATTTGATGGTTCGATAACCTAAATAACAGATTTAAAACAACTGTCTTTGTTGTTGAGATCATGTTTATTTATTCAGTAGTGTAGCAGCAAAAAAGGTTTTTGAATCAAAAATGTTGCTTATTTTGTTTTCAATTAAAATGCAGTTTATTACAGATCCTGGAATTAATTCTATTAAAAAGTTTACAGAGTCTACAGTTCACACACACAATAACAAATTAGAAAATGTTGCCCGGTCAGATGAGTCTTAATTTTTGTAACATTAAGAACACAAAAGCCTGGATTTCTCCTGTATTTACAGGTAATGCTGACTGAGGCGTCAAATATTTTTATACTGTTAAGAAATTTTATAATCGTTTATTATTTTTGTTAACTTTAGAAGCATTGTTTTTAGTTTCATGAGTAGGTTGATAAAGCATTTGTGTGTCTGTGATGTATTAAATAATTGCCGTCAGAAGCTAAAAAGCTGCTTATTGTCGTTTTTGTGATGAAACATGCTATAGCACAGATATTAAAATATATTATCTTATTGTTGGTTTACTAATTTTTACTTTTATAGTAATCATTTATAAATTTGTGAACTCAAGAAGCATTTTTCTTGTTTTGTGAGTATTTAGACAAAACGTGTCTGCTTGTCGGTTGGGTATTTGGTAATGGCCGTTAAACTAAAGGCTGAAGCTAGAAACCTGGATATCATTTTACTTTTCAGAACTATATGAAAACACTGATATTTGGCAGTTTATTATTATTATTGTTTCTTAAACTGTTCAGTCTGGTGGTCATTTTCAAATTAGCATCTTAAAACTGCCACAAACCAACTGTGTTGGCCCTGCGTCCTACTTCAAGTGGGGCCAACACAGGATGACGCAAAAAAGCAAATCATCTCAAACTGGCACCTTGAACAAAACACCAAGTTCAGTATTCTCCACTGGTCTCGCTAACTAGCTAGATTGGTTGTTCTGGTAGAAGGTGAAGGCGAAAGGTCGTTGTTTACACTCTGTTTGGGCCTGTGGCTCTGGTACTGGGTGTCTTTTTCTCACTACAACCTAACCATGGTTTTTATTTGTTTATTTTCCTAAGCTGCAATTGTCTAATTGGTTTGTTGGTGCCTGAAGCAGAGATGCAACCATAGCGCCGGTGGCGTCTATTTACCAATCCAGCAGCAGGTTCTGAGTTTTGACAGGAGCAGCCAACTGTGGGGGAGACGAGCGTGCCCGCAGGCACTC